GTGCTTTCTCCGCCTCTGGGTCGGGGACTGAGCCGGAGGCTCTTAAGTACTACTCCCTAACATAACCCCATATAAATCCCCTCAAAGCAGTTCAGACTATAGCTAATGTAGTTTCTCTTTCAAGTACACCTCGGAGCCATGCTTCATCAAGGTCTCCTCCTCAACTTTCTGCTGATCTGCATCTAATCCTCCAGGCGGCCGCCCCACAACCACGGTGCTGATATTCCTGACGAACATAGATCAGGAACTAGAGTCCAAACTTCTAGTACCCGCCTTAGTAAGCCATATTATAACCGCCCTATATATCCCTTACCTAACCCCCTTTAAGGAGTGAAGACTATAGCTCATATCCTAAGCTCGGGTGATTCTACGGATCCCTGCGAGAAACAGCAACTGTGGCAAAGTACAGGGGTCCCGCTTTGGTAGCATGTGCAGGCTGTTTTGACCACTTCCCATGTAGAACTGGACTGCGGTGGTCCAACAACTAAATACCTAGAGGGTTGACTTCACCCTGACTCACCACTGGACCCCATGGCAGCAAACAAGAAAGTTGCCATGCATCATTGAATCATAACAGGAGACCGGATCATGACAGCAACGTTCACAGTACGATAAAAGAACACGATGTGCCAGAGTGTTCTTCTATAATACTTGCCCTGGGATAGGGGGGCGTAGTGATCTTGATTGAAAGTCCATATTCAACCTGTCCGAAATATGTTATCAAGCCTATGGCGGTCATGATCCCACGCGTTTCAGTCTCTGAAGACTTTGGCTGTACAAACGGCAGCGTGGCAGTGTTCAGAGTTATTCTGTTCTTGTTTGTTTTCAGCTGCAGGGTGTGCCTTGATGAGTAATTTGCGGAGAGTACACGACAGGTCAGGTTCACATCCAAGATTAAAACATGATGCCCTTTAACAGGCATTCCCCGCGCAGCTTGCTGAAATACGTACGAAGATCCTCGTCACCATCAGCCATCAGAAAAAAAAGGTTTCTGTGAACCAATGGAGAAGGGCACCTCTTTCATTCTTTGCTCCAAGCAAAAATGGCACCGCTGCTTGCAAACCAGCATCAAAGTTGCCAGGAGTTCCTTCGTGATCCGCCAAGGCACGCCAAGGACAACATCGTCAACCCAGCGAGTCGAAAGCACCTGGGTGTTCACGCAAGAGGAACAGATAATAGTCCCCCTTCAGTAGATAGAATATGGCTTTGGGTATGTTATGATAACATTTCCATATATCCCATATTCTATCTACTTAAGGGGGACTATAGAAAGGGCCTCCGAAAAGGTGTCAAGCTTGTCGTTTTTTCGCGTCAGCGACCCTTTCAGGAAAGGCGTATGATTTGAACAATGCTTCAACTTTCTGAGATACCCAGGCAGGTAAGTACAGCAATCCGAATAAATGCTGAAAGCGGTTTGATGCTCTTTGCTATCCCAGAAGGGGCCATTGCCAAAGGCTTACCGCTAACTACTCAAACTTTGAGGCCCTTTTCAACCCCAAGTTCCGTCTCCATTCTGGGCCGAAGTTAACATCCATTCTGGGCCTAAGTTCACCTGGAATGAGGAAATGCACGCCCCAAATCCTTGAAATCAAATCTTGCACCTCAAACCTGAGCCCTGAACAACAAGCTTTACCCCAAAATCCTATATCCTCCTCCCTTGGCCCTATACTTGAACCAAAAACCCTTAATTAAACCCTTAACCCTATACATCCCATGAATCCTGAAGCCGAGGTCTCATTTAAGATCTGCTCAGCTCAGGCACGGCCATGGCCCGCTCTAGCATGGTCAACACAGGCGGGCATCTCCGATGCTGGCGGACTGTCTCCTTAAGGGTTATAAGGGTGGGTTGTAGGGTTTAAGGGTTTAAGGGGTTCAGGATTTTGTGATTAGGGTTGGGGGTCTAGGGATATCATCAGCCTATAATGGAGATCAAATGGAAATCGAAAATCAGATGGAGACGGAGATTCTAAAGTGGGTCTGGGGTTTAGGTTGGGCACCAACCCCACCCAATAACAGTCTATCATCGGGGTAATACTAAGGGCTCCTTATATGTGTATATATATATATGTGAATATATATATATGTGAGAATATATATATATTCATATGATAATATTACGCAGCTGTTACTGAGTGGGGGCAGTACCCAAGCAATCCCTCCAATTCCCTCCCACTTGCGCATCACATGCGACTGTAAGATATAGTAACGGTGTCTAGACGTGGTTTAGGAGTTAGCATTCAGAGTTAAGATCTAATGATGGACAATCATCCACGGATGTTCATATCTAGCGCTAGAAGCCAAAGATGCCTCGAAGACGCTACTGTTTGCGGGCAACACTTCTTTTAAAGGAGCTCCAAAAAGAATTCGGTTGCTCGAGGTCCAGGATACTTAGTTGAATTTACGAGGAAATATGAGGAGCCAATGGTTTCTGAGGTTCTCGGGGAAGCGCGGGACATCGGGTTTCGGGTTTAGGGCTTCTTGAGAATGAAAACTGCCTCTGGTTTAATTATGGGGGGGGCGACGTTCGTCGTTATGGGAAAGGAAGTATACATCATTATGAACTCCTAGAATAAAGACACCAACATACGGCAAGGTGTAGAAATCTGCTGGGGGACCCCAATATCGACTCTGAAACACTATAATCCTTCTCATGGGTACACCCCCCATAAAACAACCCAAAAAAGTACCCGTATTTTTGGGAAAGCCTAAACCCAAATCCAACAATGACCCAGGCGCGTCAGAGTACAAGCCGATGAGCCTTGCCAGCAAAGCTGCTTCAGGGTGTGTCTAGGGCGTGTGCATAGGGGTCCTTAAGGGTCCAAGGACCCAAATAATAGGGTTTTAGGGCCCAAATGCTATAGTTGTTCAGGGTATTGGGGCCCTAAAACCCTATTATTTGAGTCCTTGGACCCTTAGGGGGTTACGTGCGGATACATCTGGGGTATAAACGGATATATGTATAGATCATGTCTATAATAGAACATACATATATGTATACATATAAAAATATAAAGATTACGTACACTATAAAGGGTATACAGAGGCTGTATAGGGTTATTTAGAGCGATAATAAAACTTGGGGTTTAGGAATGGACAAGCAAATTGAAGCTACTTTATTACGTCGGATTTAGGGGCGTGAAGTTCGAAGACTTACAATGGTGGAGAAATGAAAAATATAAAGTGTTCCATGGAACGGAAGCTGTGTTTATAAAATGCTGGTTGGCTTAGTAATGGAAAAGCCCTCAACAATTAGAATGGGTTTTGGGGTGTATGATTGCGCTGCTACATCAAGGGGTGCTAGTTCAGAGGGATTGTGTTGGCAATTCTTTAAGCTTCCACACTGTGGCGTCAAGGGTTGAGATTTAGGATTAGTCCGAGCATGCATTGAGCGAAGCTCCTTCATTAAACACACACACACACATGATACATGTTATGTTATACCAGAAACCTAAGTCGTTCTGACTTGGCCACAAAGGCAGATTTCGTACTGAGAAGGCCGCCCAGATTTCAAGCAAATTGCTTCGCGATTGAAATGTATCAAAACCATGTGTCAAGATCAAAAGCGAACAATTGTGATCGAGCCTTGTGTTGCAAAGTGAAGCAGGATGAGACCAGCAAAACAGAAAGCATTCAGTTTTTCAGGAAACCTTCTGACCTCCTACCCTGACCGATGAACAGTATACTATAGGGGTAATATTGGGGATTGCATGTATTCAAAATTATAGATATTATCCAACTGTGAATCTGGTCTTGTTCTTGGGGAGGGTTTAGGGCTGTGCTGCTGCAAATGCATAGCTTTTGTTGAACGTGCTCTTACCAAGTACGCTTGAAACTCAGAAATAATTGGGGCTCGCCGTGCCTACGATGGGAGCCCAAATGGCCACAAATATCATGTTGACCACTTGAGGTAACCTAGGACGATAACATTGGTAATTCTCCCGCTAAGGCCGCTATGTAAGCCAAGCTTCCATTTCATGCTTCACTTTCCTCTCCGTTTGATTCTCCATTATTGGGGCTGAACGCCATGATATTGGTAGCTTTTAAGGCCTGACATTAACCCCAACGCAAAGAGCCGTTCGGTGAAGCCAACTTTGCATCCAAGTGTCAGATAGTCTCCCATCCTTGCGTCCCCATGACCCATGGGAGGTTATCAAACATCTGCTCCTTTATTGGGTACCAGAAATAATCCAATCCCCAATATTTGGGGCACCCAAAAGGATCATACTTTTGACGACCTTTCACATGGAATACAAGGATGAAACGACCCCTTCTGGCACGTGTCTAGGGTTTAGGATTCGTTGTGGGGACCCAATTCAGGCAAAATGCCAAACGACATGCAGCAGTGTTGGCGACATTGAAAAGACTGGAGCTTTGAACAGAAATTACCTGACCTCCTCTAAGAAGCCCATGAGCTTGATAGTTTCGGACATAATGGGCCTGAGAAAGAAGTCATACGACTGAGTTCGTGCCTTCTTGTAACAAAGAAAGATTGCAGTACAACTGAAAGGGTTTTCAACATTGTGCATCCATCCTTTTATCATCCTTTGGGGTCCAAAGACAGACACATTTGGCACCTCCAAAAAAAAGTTCCGCACCCCGAAAAAGGAGGCACGCAGATTTAGGCGAGAATCTTTGCGGCCTGCTGCAGTATGCTGACGTGGCCCGGGTGAACGAGATCGAAGATCCCAGGAACCTGCTGCTACTGAGGCTTACTCATATCTAAAGCAATGTACCTGCCCTAACGTGAAAAAGACTTGTGAACGTTCTACAACACGGTCGTGCGCGTTATGCCCGGGACAAGCTTCCAACTTAGTCTGCGACATTGCCCATGCACATCGATAGAGTTTGGCCAAGTTCGTTGTATCTTTACCTCACTGTCAGGACTGAATAGTGTAACAACCACAATAACCCTCACGCGGCACTAATGTTGCGATGATAGCAGTAGCAGTAAGTTGATGGACAGAGCAATCAGAGTAATACTTCTGGCAGTAGTTGCCACGAGGATAAAAAGTAAGCATTGGGGCTTCAACATTTCAAGACTGCACTCACCACAAAAAGGCACATATCACCGTTATCGTTGGAGAGACATGTCACTGTGCAAAAGCAAATGCACTCAGACTTCCTCTCCGAGGGATGGATCAAAATGCTCCTGATGACCAAGTAGCTCCATATGGTCGATACAATAGGCCCCCCCCCTTTGCAGGATCCGCAAAAGCCCAAAACGGCTTGAAGGGCCATTTGAAGACTAGGAGGGGTCATTGGAGTCTCCTGTGGGGGTGCCGTGTCAACCCTACGATAGCAAAGCCTGTGACAATATTCATGAAATTCTCACAAGACCACCCCAGCAACCTCAACGCATCTGGTAGAAAGCTAACTTCTCCTGGGGCTCTGCACAACAATGCCCAAACCAGCCCACATACAGCCATATGAGGTTCCCTTTTTTTCGGTCAAGGGCACCCAATACCCTGAACCTTGAACCCTAAAACGCCGCATCATGCGCTTGGACAAGCTGCATACACCACCGTCTTGGCGGAGGTCAGCAGCTTCGCTGGCTGCCTCACTAGGGTTCATCCAGACTCAAAAGACATAATCTCTTCTGCCTAATAGTAAACCTCCTCAACATAGTGCCGTTGTATATTGGGGTATAGTAGGGGGACTATTGGAATACTTGAATATTCATAGTTAGGGTGGTGGGGGCAGGTGATTAAGGGCAGGGAAATTACCCAAAGCCATTGGCTCCAAACTCCTGAGAGATGAACGTGAGCCATGCATCTTAAGCGAGTCGGAGGTCTAGGCCCTAAACCCTAAACCCAAGAGTCCTACCCTAAACCCAGCAGCTAAAAGAAGGCCATTTTGGAATCCTCCCCAGGCTGAATCTAGGTGCCTCAAACTTCAAAGAGGGTTGGGGTCTGGCCTTGATCTGGTTCCTGGCCGAGGCTGGATAAATTGGGGTTTCCCAAAATCAGGGATAATTTTTTTGGGGGGGTCCCTACTGTATACTAAGGATTGTAGTATTTTGGGGTCTGTAGTGGGGTCCCCCCAATTGGGAAACTACCAGATAAATTTAGAACCCGAAGCCTTCAGAAATTGAACCCCCACTGGTCCAGAATCTGAAAAGCCCAACCCCCAAACGCCAGGGAAAATGAAAAGAGTTCAACCTCCAATCCTCTCTAACCGGCATTTTGGAAGAAAATAGGGAATAAGCGTCCTAGAAATCTCAAAGCTCGCCCATGTCAAAACCTCTCCGCAGAAGACATCTCTGTTATCTGGATGCCAATAGCCTAAGTCTTGGCGTTACCTTGTTGCTCTCGGGTCAGAACACCACATGTTCTAAACCCAAACTTGCAAATCATCGTTCCAAATGTTTCAGACATGGCGCCTGGGAGACAAGCGGAAAAAACATCACACATGCAGTTGGATTCCTTCCCTCATTGCTTCTCCGGACAGCCTCATTCCAATTCACACATTCGTAGACCCCAAAGCACGTCTGACATCTCAACGACCCGGACACACATGTAATAAGAGGCCTCGGTACCCCGCTAAATGGGCCCCCATTAAATTTATACGGTAAGTATAGTGTCCTAATTGTTGGGTTGGGTTACCAAAATACCCTAAAAACTAGACGCGAAGCTTAAAAACCCTATGTCAAAGTCAACGAAGGCCTAGGAGCTCGGGGTCAGATGGTGCAGCAAATTGCGCCAGCCGCTGTGTGGTAGCCAAGGCAGAATCCATGGCATCCACCTGGGTTCAGGGCCTAGGGTTGCAGTCAAGGCAGAATCCTTTATGGCGTTCACCTGATTCTGAAGCCTTCTTTAAGGGCTTATGGCTTCAAAATGGAACCTACTTGGTGAGTGTATAGTACCTGGGCTACAGGAAGCTAAGGAAAGGGATCCGCCTCAAATACCTCAATATACATTTGCCCCTACACTTTTGGTTGCCAAGCTTAGGTTTGAGCACTTTTCACGTGCTTCTAGGTAGTCTCATTCTGCCTTGGCTCCGCCTTACATGATATGTTTCCAGCATTCTGCTCTGACACTGCGTAAGGTATACATCGAACGAAGACGCGCTCTCAGACATTAAAGGCAATCTTAACCTGCAGCGCCTGCTGTTTTATATAGCCACAAAACTGCCTTCTGCTTTTCGAAATGCCTCTGCACCTAATGTAACACCTCTTATTTTGGCCCATGTTCCATTTTGTTCTCCGTGTTCTTGTCCATGTTATTCTCCATTATCCGTAGACCCTGTATAATAGTTTCCATGCCGTTTTCCATTTGGCTCTCCAGTGTACCCAACAATCCTAAACCCCAAACAGTGGTTTCCAGTTCGCTTCCATTTTTCTATTCCATTTGGTTCTCAACTATTATGCTTTGCCGGGCGTAAGATAGAGCCTATAACAAAGAACTTACTTACTGTCAAAATAAAGGCTAGACTTTAAAGGAAATACCCATGCGGGGTAGTATAACAGCTAGTTCATCCCTATATATTCCCCAGGTCCCCCTATGTCGCCCTTATATAACCCAAGGTTAGTTAACTTCTCGTCCTTAACAACCCTAAACCCTAAACCCGGTAGAGGCCTCAAGGTCTGAAGAGGATTCGAGACCTTGCTGCCGAATCAGGCGCTGGATAATCCTGGGTTTAGGTGACTAGGGATGAAATAGAAATTGTGGAAGTGGCTATGGGGTTTATACAGGAATTTTATAGGGACATGCAGGAGCCCAATTAAGGACAGTAATCCAACAATGGAAAATCACACTGAAAAAGGAGAACATTAAATGGAACCGATTATTTAGGATCTAGGGTTTAGGGCTGTTGGGGATAGTGGAGAAGCAATGGAAACCGTGGAAAATGAAATGAGAACTCCCCAAATACCACCTGTAGAGCCCAAATACCCGCAATAGGGTCCACCCAAACCATGTTAAAGGGTAGGTGGGAAGTGGTGGGAAGTCGTGGGAAGTTATACGGTTGTAAGGTTTAGGGATTGAAGATTATCGTTGATTTAGGGTGTAACCTTTAGAGATTCGGGTGGAGGGATTTGGGCTTTGGGATTGGGGCTTAAGCGGGTTCGGCAGATGCTTATGTGCGTAGAGCGTTGAAAGCTCCTAGCAAGGGACTCCTGCAGTAGGTGGCATGTGAAGCAAGAGGAAGCGGCAACACCACGGTGACACGCACGGAAGCCCCCAGGAAAAGTAGCAGCAGCATGGAAAACAGCCGTCACCACGACTATGTGGCGAGGATGGAACAATGGGTCCGTGGTTGGGCCCTCAGCCTGCTTCAAGGGTTCTTTCGGACCTGCAGAGGGGCTACAAGCACCGGCTTTAGCTTGAATTGGCACCGGGGCTGAACGCAATTGGATTTCAAGAGGATTCAGCGGCACCCTCCTGGTCGAATGCTGCTGAGGAGCTGAGTGGTCGAAATTCCCTCAGTACGCTTCAACCTCAGGGCGCGGACTCTCCGGTTTCCCAGAGCAGGCATCTCTGAATGAACCTAGCTTCTGTGAGCCCTTAGCTCAAAAAAAACACCTCCTCCGGAATCGGGACACCATGAAGTCATGCTCCATCTAGCTCTTGTTTTCACATGCATGCTTTGATATCCGAACAGGGATCCAGACCACAGGATGCCAAGCGCCATGAGGCTGAGGCTGAGGTTGGCACATTTGGAAGCGGCCTTTCTCGATGGCATCACTGTACATGCCGCCACCTCCTTTTCAAATACAGGTCTTTCTGTGTCATACTTTGAATCAGCGGGATCCTGACAGTTCTCCAAAACACTTCCTGACGCTGTCGCAAGGCATCCCTGGTGAACTTGATAGTGCTCAGAAAGGAATGAAGGCACAAAACACAAGGATTTCCATGGAGAGTAGGTAGGGACGACTTTGGGCTTCTGTTTCCCCATGCTAGCAGCAAGTAGACCACTGGCCTTTGCAGATCGGCATGTCATCGCCATGGCAGATCCACTTCACTTGAAGCGCATCTGCCATCTGCGCAGACATGGAAACATAGGGCAACTGCGTGACGAACCTGGGTGTTGCAAGTCTGTGCTGAAAAATGCCCTACGTTCAGTGCAGCACTGCGTCATGGAGCGTCTTTATCAGGCTCACTCAGTGCGTGCAAGTGACTCATCGACCCACTTTGTGGCCTCAAGCACCGCAATTCCTTGCTTTTTCCATTTCGGGAAGGCAGCAGACGTATTTGCAGCAACAGTGCGCCAACAACGGGAGTTCTCACCGTGCGATCAGGGAAAACAAGCAAGCGTGCTTGGGCTCTGGATACCATGCAAGAGCATATGCTTTTTTGAACCTGTTGCCGCAAAGTATCGCTCATCATCAGACATCATGGGGGGACCTTTTTGTCGAGTAATGGCCTCATCGGAATGGATGCCCGCAACCATGATCACCTGCCAGCTGCCGAATACTCATAAGAGGGCTGCCTGTACCTGTGAATTTCTCGGTTACCACACTCTGAGTTGACCCGAGGTCTCCCAAAAGTGCAGTTGTAGCTACAAGGGTGCTGATAGGCAACCGCAAGAATGTACCGTAAGTGTTTTAAAGCATACCTATCTTTCTAAACATACATGCAATGAGTTTAGTGGCCTGACCTGCCAAACGCTGCACATGCCGCAAGTGGCCTTCTTGTAGCCTTGCTGAAAGAACAAGCGCTTTGCCTGTCTCAAGGCGTTGAAGTGTCCGACCTCGTAATAGTAATAGTAGCAGTAGCAGTAATAATAACATTCATAATATGAATAACAATACTTGTAACATTAGTAGTGAAAAGTAGTACGAGTAGTAATAGAAGTGATCCATAAACCTTAAGCTCCTTCAGAGGACACTAGGTTTTGAGCCGACCCAGCAGCTCCAAGCCAAATATATGGACCTTTGCCTCCAGAGAAAAACCAAGTAGTCGGGATGCTGAATTGAGTTGCCGCATCTACGTTTCATTGCTGGCTTTCTTTTGTTCGTATGGGATGGTCATGCCCTTGCCTTCATGAGCATATGACAGTAATGCCCTCTGTTGACAACAATCAAGATCAAAAGACACAACAGGTAGAGCAGTGCTGCACGAACACAGCCAAAACTTCCCAGTGCTCAAGGGAGAGTACGGGAATGGATCCCCATAAAGATCCCTATAGAATCCCCTTTCATGGTACCTATGTTCCCTCCCCAACTACGCCAAACCCTAAACCCCAAGCCCCAAACCCCTGTAAACCCTAAACCCTAAACTACGTTCTCTCCCCCACTGCCCCGCTAAGCGCAAGTAAGAAGATGCGAGCTTTTAATCTAAGGCCCTGGCATGCATGAGGTCGAAGCAGCCATTCAGGAAGATCCGGACCTTGGGACTTCTCAAACTGGGGGTCCCTTAGGGACTCTAGACATGGGAAGAATATGTACTGTATATCTATATATATATATAGACATGTATATATGTATATATACACATGATACATGAACATGTAACAGGCGTATATCCATGAATATGTATATATATATATACACACACACTTCTTTTTTTAACACCTAAATGTAGGTGAGCACAGAGAGATTCGAAGGGTCCTTGTCAAGGATTTTGTTGGCTTACTGTCAGAAACTCTACCGTGAAGCAAGCAAACGCCACATGATTTGAGCTTTGCGCTTGGGCCTCATTTCATATACTGTTGATATACAAAACTCCTGCATGCCCTTAGTAGACTACCATACCATGATTAAACCCTAAACCCTAAACCCAGTACGTAGGGTCGTGCAAGATAGTTTCATATCAACTACAGGGCTGGCAAAGTTCCACAGCAGGTTTCTCTTGGGTATCATGCTGTTAGAACTTCAGGGCCCAAATAACTTGAAGTTGGTTGAAGGTGTATTTGAGGCAAAGCTTCCTGCAGTAGCCACACACCCCAAAGCCTAAACCCCTTGACACACTCTAAACCCTAATCCCTAAACCCTAAAGTCTAATCCCGAAACCCTCAACCCTAAACCCTAATCCCTAAACCCTAGCTTGGTATCCAGCAGTATCTGGATCCCCACTCTGCTCTTCGACAGTTGCCAGGGATGGACGGTGCCAGAAAAACTTCAACCTGAGAAGAAGCACTTGGGGTCGAAGGCATCTATATGATAGTAGGGTATATGTTGGGGTGATATAGGGATAATGAAAAAGAAAATGGACCCTATGTTAGCATAATATAATAGGGTATATCTTGAGGTTATATAGGGATGATGGAAAAGAAAACGGAAACTACCACATAATAATTGTGTATATATTGTAGTTATGCTGAGGGTGCGTCATAGCTCTGGACACAAGAAGCTGCAGTCTGAATAAGCTCAGAACTCGCTGCTGACCTGCAAGGGTAGGAAGCAAGGGCGGCAGAACTTGTAAACAATGGCTCATTATATAGTAGTTTCCATTTTCTTTTCCATTATCCATATATATTCCCTATATAACCCCTATAGAACCCCTATATAACCCCTATAATGCTCGCAAAACTTTACAGCCCCATGCGCTACCAAGCCTCCACCCATTCGCATTCCAAGCCCAGAAGGGCCTTCTCAACCATGGCATACTACGATGATTCTAGCGCAAGGCCGCGGAGGGGGCCCTATCTTTGAATCGCTGAGGGTTCTCTTTTCCATGTGCTCATCACGCAGCAGCCCTGCGATTGTTGCTGGGATGCTGTTGAAGCCGAGATGTCAACATCGGGGTGCGCACAGACACGTAGGATGCAAGCCAACTTCTTCCCATAGCAGACAGCAGTTGCAAGCAGGATCGCAGTGTTGCCAAAACAGAAATCTCTACCCGGCCCTCGTCAACCTGGAGTGGCCCCAGCTCTTGACATTCTACACTTTCTCACCAGTTCACCAGAAAGCACTAAGCAACACCGCAACACGCAGGAAGACTGAGCGAGTTCCTCCAGTTTCGCTGGCTCAGCAGCAATTGTGCGCACGCCCGAGGAAGGAAGCACGCGTGGGAAGATCGCCTGGTGCAGTGAAGCATAGGAATCGCATCAAGGCTTGATGGGAGTTATTTAGCTGCTACCGGACTCAAGTGCGCTGTTTGGGCTGCGAAAGAGGCAGCTGTAATCTTGCTCACGAAGGATATAGAGGCATCCCGTCCACTCCATGGAAAAAGGTCCAAGCAACCACCAGTTTAGTAATTACATGACGGCGGCACTTGAACATGCAGGCACGAGGACAATCAGCGTAGAGTGAGCTCAGCATCCCTTTAATCGGAGCTTTCTTCAGATGTCTGCAGTAAACTGTCTACCAAGCAAAATGAAGATTCCGATGCAGAGCCAGTTGTATGCTGCCGGGCCAGATCTGAAAATTTGGACGAGGCTGTGAGAAAAAATTCTCATCCAGGAACCTTTCGTCTCTGCTGAGGGCGGGGACTGTCCTGTTCAGGCTCCGTAAAAAGTTTCAGAGAGGTCTTGGCCCGCAGCTGGTAGCTGGGCCAGACTGTCCAGATGACACACTTTTCACAAGTTCCGACCCAGAAGATATGGCCACGCTGTCACGGAAGCTCAAGAAATCAGAAAGCATGGAGATTGAGGAGTCCTAGGATCCCGCGGAACGAGTCCGAAAAGACAGATCATCAAGATGTCCCTAGGCTTTCCCTTGCAACTGGTATACATACGTGAGAGACACAATGGAATCTGATCCAGACTTCTTCGGCACATTCGCATCCTGTGTGTGCTGCCTGTGCCGCAGCGCTGCTTACTCAAGTTCTTAGCTTGTCGCAGTAGATGCTCACTAGACCCATTCATAAACATAGAGGCCAGGAGGGTGGCTGACAAAACTGAAGGGCTCCAAGCAAGACTCGAAGTCTGGGGACTCACCAAAATAACAAGAACTCCTAGTTTGTGTAAACTCCGAACTTCGCTGAGCTCTAAGTCCTCAAAACAAAACTTCAAAACCATAAACAAACCGCGTGAAATCTCTGATATTTCCATATTTCCCAACTCTGAGCCCAGAGCAGGCCAGGTCAGAACCCCTATACCCTAGGTAGGCCTATTACGATACACTATTGGTGTTGCGATCCGTCATGGCATCTCTGAGAAACTCCAGGATACAACCTGGTTATAGCTTGGGCTTTTCCATACCTACTTGTAGCCCTGGACCTTTTGAAGCCCTGTATGAAACCCAGTTTCCATGCCATTTTCCATTTCGCTCTCCATTGTTGCGGATAATACGAATATAAATCCCAATGATAACAATTAATATGAAAAGTATCAATAGTAATATTAATAACAATATGCATAATATTATTCATAATATTATGAATAAAAATACTATTAACCCTACACCCTAAACCCTAAACCCTAAAGCCTACCTGGCCGCTGTTTGAGGTACTCCCTGGGCCTCATGTCTGCCTGGGACCGACAACATCGGCTGCGCAGCCGTCTGCGTGTCCTTCACGTGCAGGTCTACTTTAGGGGCTTCGGGGTTTAGGGTTTTAGGGGTTTAGGGTTTTAGGGGTTTAGGGTTTTAGGGGTTTAGGGTTTAGGATTTAGGGTTTAGCGGTTCAGGGTTTTAGGGTGTAGAGGCTAGAAGAATTGAAAACATGAGAACCCTAAGCCAGAGCTGTACAGAACGTGGAGAAGTTTTTAGCCGTTTTAGGGATGACATGTAGGAGCCTACCTATCGTTAGCATCGTCGCTATTCACGCGGGCCATTCATTGCCTTAAACGCCCTACCAGCGTATTTACCTCTGCTCGAAGCTCCTAAACCCTAAACTCAAACCCTAAACCATAAAAAAATCTATAAATGTCTGCTGAGGCCGGTAGGCACCCGTCTACACCGATGGCTTGCCCCCCAAAAACGGCACCTCAATGTGGGGGTTTTCCCAAACTTTGGTGTCCCATGAGAGTTCTATAGGGGGTATATAAAGTTCAGGGTTTCGGAAAATTGGGGGTACCATTTGGGTTCCCCATAACATGGATTATAATACGTTGGTGACTATTTTGGGGTCCCTCGATTTAGGACCCTGAACCCTAAACCCCTGAACCTTATTTAGGGAGATTACCAGATACCCGGCTTTTCTTAGCGGAGTTTCGGAAAGCCCTGGCCCGGACTGACGCATGGGCCGCGCGTCCTCTTCCATTAGCCAGAGCTCTCTCCTTGCATCCGCAGGCGGCTACGCACAAGGCTCCAATAGTCTATCTACTTAAGGGCGACTATACCCTAAACCCCAAACCCTAAATAGTAGTTTCCCTTTTCTTTTCCATTATCCCAATGTAACCCCAATATAGTTATATAAGAGGGACTAGTGTTTCAGGGATTTAGGAGCCTTGAAGTTTCAGGGATTCGTGGCTTAGGCTTAGGGATTAGGGGTCGTAGGATTTCGGATTAAGCCTTAGGAATTCAAGGCGTTAGGCTTTTGTGGTTGAAGGAAGAGGCTTATACATCGTGAGGTAGAGCAACTTCAAAACAGGATCCCCACCAAGAATGAGGATCAGAAAATAAATCAAAATCAACTCTAGAGGACCTGGCTGGAGAATTTTCCAGATCCAAGTAAAACTACACCACACGGGAATGGCTTCAGAATTCCCCCTCAATGCGAACACATGAGCTAGACTCTAAACTGCTGGTATCCCCCTAAATACAACTTATAATAATCCCCTATATAACACCCATTAAGGAGTTTAGACCCTAAACCGAAAACCCGAAGCCCTATATAACCGCCTTTAAGGAGTTTAGACTACAGCTCATGTGTTGAAAGGACTGTGAACCGGGCCTTCCATACCATTCCGAGACCGCCAGAGGTCCGAGAAAGTTCCTGTCAAGTCAGAGGCCCACTACATTATGGTATATTATGGAAGATTATGGTAAGTTATAGTACATTATCAAGTTGGATGGGGAGCGAACAATTCGGAGTCCCCCAATCCAACATATAGCTTGCGTATGCTGCATTGCAGGCCTCTGTTCGCACATCTGGAGTAAAACCCATACAAAAGAATCATGCCCGGCCAACCAAGGCCTCGCAATGGCCTTATGGAAAACGATTGTTCAAGGTGACATGTTTTCACTGCCGGTCTTGTCTAACCTTGGGTGGGCAGCTCCCCTTTAAGCATGCCACGGTGTGTAGCCTCTGGCCCTACAGATCCCTTCGCCCAACGGGAATCCTTCTGATGTAAGGTAGGATGTATGCCTACGGCAGAACTTCGTTGCATATGAGCCATTGGCATTTGAAACGGCTAATTAGGGGCTTGCCTACGACCAGAAACTACCTCCTTAGGCAGGCTGGCAATTGTACATGCGGTCGTTCCAAAGGGACACCCCGATCATACTCCAAGTTCAGAACAGAATTTTACACCGCGCTACAAAACATTACTGCTGCAGACCCTATCATCACTTTGACCTAGAACAACACTGGAACAGAAGGACAGAAATACAATCAATCAATCGCACGCTTCACTTCAGTAGGAGCCAGATTGCCTTGATAGTAAACTGTAGGTTGGACTGACTATTGTACGAGGCCTCAAAGAACCTGAATCTTGCCACAGGATTCAACAAAGATGCAGAGCAGTAAATCCTAAAGTAAACCCTAAACAGCCAAAAGCATGAGAATGTCATCCGCGCGCTTGATGCGAAGGTGACACCGCAAGCCCTGCAAGTAAGCCGGGAAGGCCATTTCTTGCCAGTCAACTTTGCCTGGGGTAGACCCATGGCGCTTAGGGCTTAGGGTTCAGGGTGTAGGGTCTAAACTCCCAGTATCCCCCTCTATAGTTCCTATAATACCAATTCCCCGATATAACCCTTTAGGATCAAAACGTATGTGTAGGCTTTAGGGTGCAGCCACTGTTCTTAACACCCCAGGCCCTCCTGCCCATGACGCCAAAATCTTTTGAGCTGCAGTCGCAAAACCCCACAAAGGCAAAACCCTAGGTTCTTAAAACTTGAATCCGCAAAACCAGTGCCCAGCTATCATCTCTGCCACATCTACCGTGCAGTACAGTATCACTGCAGGCCTGGACAACTTTGATTCTTTCACTTTGTAAATTGTCACATGTATTCCTGGGTTTAGCAGAGCACTGTTGCTTCAGACGGACAAACGACCACTACTCTGAAAAGTGCGGCGATCTCCTGCCTACTGGTGCTTAACACGAAACAAGAGCACGGATCCCCATTGTAGTGTCTTCAACCCTCAACAACAGTGCAGCTCAAATTTCCTTTCCCCTTCCTTCATTGCAACGAAGCACCCTACACCCTAAGCCCCTAAACGCTAATATTACCCCAATATATACCCTATAATCCCTATAGTTTCCGTTTTCTTTTCCATTATCCCAATATAACCCTAATATTGCCCCAATATATTTCATTTTTATTTTGTTCGATAGATTCTCCGTCATCGAGGTAACACCCCCTGCATGCCGTATATGGTAGCTTCCATTTTCTTTTCCCTCCCCTACAGAGACAAACCCTAAACCCTACAAACCCTAAACCCCAACACCCTATAGTCCCCCTCAAGTGGATAGAATATGGCTTTGGAGATATAATAAGATCCCCAATGTACCCCATTTTCAATCTACTCAAGGGGACTTATGCGGCCTAAACAGGCAAGCCACGGCAGCTTCCAGGTACGCCCTCGCTGTACCGAAGCGGTCGTAGACGTGCTGCAACCTCGGGGTACCCCAAGACGCTTGAGGCCTGAAGGTTGAGGAGCTGTATATAGGATTTAAGACTTGAAGGGCTTAGGGCATGCCTATACACACCTATATAACCCCAATATGTGCCCCATTACCACGTAGTAGTTTCCACATTCTTTTCCATTATCCTCCTGTAAACCATATATACCCATTATGGTTTGGAGTCCAGGTTTGATACGAGTGGAGCGGAGAGTTTAAAGTCTACAGGACGGGGCATGAACACTTTGCAGGGCCTCGCCCTAAACCCTAAACCCTAAAACCCTAAACCCTAAAACCCTAAACCCTAAGCCCTAAACCCTGAAGCCCCAAACCGTAAAACCCTAAAACCACTAAACCTCGCTAGCGGTTCCACGTGAACACTCCAGAGCTTGCTACATGGCAGTTCTTAGAAGGAAGACAGTAGGTAATATAGGGTAATTTATAGCTTCTATTGGGATAATGGACATAAAATGGAAACTATGGGGATTATAGGGATCATATAGGGGATATGTTGTTGTAATATTGGGATAATGGAAACCAAATGAAAACTACTATAGGGTGTAGGTTTTAGTTTGGGACTAGTTGTCTAGGCATTGATTCTGGCCCCCAATGAATGTCGACAACTGTTGCAGTCACTACACAGCAAGGACGCAATCCTACCCTAAACCCTAAACCCTCAAGCCCATATAAACTTACCTTTACTTAAGGTACCCAAATGTCCTTAACATCTTAAAACTTTAAGATTTTAAGCTCAAAGTGACACCCCCCAAACCCTAAGTACTGGTATAAACCCCTAAACCCTAAAACCCTAAACACTTGCCCTGATCCTCAAGGCAGGGTTTGGTGCCCATGGCTTGGGCCAGAGCAAACTTCCAGTTTCGAGCCCTAGTCTAAACTCCAAGTATCCCCATCTGTGACCCCTATAACAGTGTCCTGTAGTCCCCTATATAACCCCCCTTTAAGGACTTTAGACTATAGTTCATTTATGTTTCATGGCATGCATGCCATGATGGAGTTTGGCGGGTGCGCCCGACTGGGTCTTACTCACAGGGCCGCTGTGCCCCAGGAAGTTCCGACTGCTTCATGTGGCGTTTTCACTTGAGAACAGCTTACTGCATGGGCGAGGCCAAGATTCAGGAAGCGAGTTTTTCGGTGGCTGGACCTATCTGCATGGTGGGACGGACCTGCGTCTAGTTATGGAGTAGGGGTAGCTGCATCGTGCAGTACTATGTAGGTTTCTAGATGCAGGAGTTCTGGCCAGATGTTGTGATAGACTCGCACTGCAATACCTGGATGCGAATGTACAGTTTTCGCACCCTTGCTACGACTAGGCCTCCCAGCTAACATGCAAGAACCCACTGTGCTTCGCACCATGGCTTATCGGGCAGCTCCACAAAATGCCTTCGCAGCGTGCTCATCAGGATTGTAGAGGTTTTCACTGATTGCATGGAATGGCTTGGGTTATTTGCAACGTTTGAAAACAGGAGTTGTTATGCCGGTTCTGGTCGGGGGCGTTCGAAAGCGGGCCACTGGACTGTAGGCAGTATCAACAACAAGAATGTCATAAAGCAGCAGATGCTACTGATACAACTCCGCTTACATGTCACTTCCAGCTATTCTTGACGAAGGGTCTCACGGCGCCCCGCTCCGCCCAGGAAGTGCTAGAGATATTTCAGTCTTCCAGCTGCAAAACAAGAATGCTGGGAACAGAACTGTTTCAGAAGCAACTACATTTGAGATAACTCACATCGGCTGTTGTGCAGAATCGTGAGCTTGGAAGCTTACTCATAGGGACAAAGCTGCTCATGCGGAGGGTGGGGTCTCGCAACCTGCCTCAACTCCTAAGTAAACTCCTGGAAGCTCAAGCTCTAGGATAAGTGTTGGTCAGGATCCCAACCAAGTGCAGTCAGAAATCTGAAGAAGGTCTAGGCTTGTTCCAGTTTAGGGAGTTCTCCTTTGTACCATTAGGGTTTGTACTCTTGGGCTTGGGTCCCAAATCCTGGAATATGACCCTTAATAAGGATATCTGGGACCCAAAATCGAGGGTTACAAACATTCAGGGTACAAACTTAAAGTCTTCACGGTGTGAGGGCCTAAGAAGTGTCCAAGCTAGTCCAACAAACGCTGGGCTTGGAGCAAAGCCACTTAGCAGAAGACCTTGCAAAACCGAGCCCTAAACCCTAAGGCCTAAGCCCTAAGCCTATATGTCGGGGTATATGGGGATCTTACTATATCTACTTAAGGCAGGGGGACTATAGTCGCACCATTTCAGAGTCCTGCTCTGGTAGTTTCCCGAAATAGGGCGACCCCCCAATATACACCCCAAACATTCAATAGTCCTTACTATTGGGACCCCCTCAAGTACCTTTAAGTTTGGGAAACCCCATCTATGTGAGGGTACACCAGCTAAGCATGGAGGATGGCGTTGAAAGATTTAAGCATTCCCTCGAGCTTTGTGAGTTAAGGGCTCATCGGTTTAGCCTTTAGCAGTGGTTTGAGGTTTAGCTTGCAAAGATTTGGGCTTCGGTGCTTAAGGGATACTGGATTTAGGCTGCAGGCTTCCAATATATACCTGTTATAATATGGTAGTTTCCATGCTCTTTTTCATTCTTCGTATATAACTCGTTGTTTAACCCCTATATCTCCCTACATATACGTATATAACCCTAAACTACGTAACCCTTCAAAGCCTGTGTAACCGTGAGCTAACTGCAACGTTTCACGACTGTTGGCCCACCTGGGCGCCAGCTTCAACAGCGCACTCATCAGCTGCACGCTGCCCTACATGCAGAATCTATCTCACAGGAAGTAGGGAATAAGGGAATACATTACATAGCGGTTATGTAGGGATTATATTCCCTTGTTTCCTACTTACCCCCAATAAGTCTATTGTGTGTAAAGGGTTTCTCGAAATGCCCCCGGGGGCTGCTGTGGGGACCTTATGGTTATGTACGGACGATAAGAGGATCATCGGGGACCCTTGCAGAAGTTGAGTTTGAATTGCAGAGCAGTGGTTTGCAGAACTGCCATTCTGGTTGCACCAGAACAACAACAGACATACACAGAGGCTTGCTCTGTCATGTGCTGACCTCCTAATCCGGGCACAATCTTTACGAATCTCTCTTAGGTGTATGGATGTCGACTAAGCATTTCAAGTAACAAGGATCCTACCTCACGTCCTGGTGGAAGTCCAGAAATGTCCGGAGCAAGGGGCCCACTTTCCAAAAGAGCAGGTTTCCTGCAAACATGTTGCCTGAATAAGGATTGCTATGCGAAACTGCATCAAGCATCGTTCTTGTCATCACAGGACATAATCCCTTCCCCTGATAATACAGGTCCCCTACCCCCTGGCGATATATATCATAAAGTAGGATCAAATTCGGGGGAATATGCATTAGGAGGCCGCAGGTTCATCATGATGAGATGGCAGCTTTTCTGCAGGGTCGGCCGGCATGACGTCATCTGGGGGTTTCTCGAAATAGGGGCCATTCAGAACCTGGATGTACGTGAGCCATAGTCTAAACTCGTAGTATCCCCTTAGTCACCCTAATCATAGTCCCTTGTAGAGTCCCCTAAACAACTGCCCTTTAAAGAGTTTAGACAATAGCTCATACCCGTGTCAGAAGGAGAATATCAGGGTCCCTCTGTACATTATGTCAGAACCGTCATGAGAAACACCCATCTGAACAAAGTGTGGGTACCTCCCAAGAAGAGGCACTAGACCTTAAACCTTAAACCCTAAATCCTAAACCTTAAACCCTAAACCCGAAATCCTAAACCTTAAACCCTAAATCCTAAACCTGAATTAGGATCTGCCTTTCGCGAGAATCGAGGATGTCAAAGCATTCGATGGATCATGAATTAAAAGTAAAGACATAGATACCTTACCGTGGCTTAGTACGGAATCCCTTAAGTAGATAGAATACGGGGTATACGGGTACCATTTTGGAATATTCCCAAAACCGTATTCTATCTACTTAGGGGGAACTATATATGTCCTTTAGGCAATACATAGGGACTATGTTCCTATATTCCCTACTAACCCCAAGTAAGACACTGCCGTGTAGGTTCCTACCATCAATCCTCCTTTTTGCTGACACAATGTAACAGGCTGTGGGGACAAATAGGCTTTCAAACTTGGGCTCACGAATCTTGCTCTGCACTGACCGGCGTGCGAGAAGCAAGTAACCAAATTTCTCAGCATAAACCATTTGTGACATTCAGCAGTTTCCAGAGGTCGGGGGGGGGGGGTCCAACCATTATGCCCATTCCTGGCACAAAGGCACGAATGTAGGATCCCCAGCTTCAGGAGGTCACACTTGCTTTGACATGAGGAGGCCCATCATCTCAAAAAGACTTCACGCTGGCCGATCAGTTCGCCGCGTGGTACAAGGAAGACCGGAGGACCGATGAGTTCTGCAGACTTGGCAACAACCGCAAGATTTGAGGCTTCTCAATTTTTCGGTCGTCCCTTTAGATAACGATTATGGTATTTGGGGTTCTAAATTGGGGTCCCTCTATTTAGG